GGAGTGGACAGGTGATAAAAAAACATAGATACAGAAGTCTCAGAGTCAGGCCAACATGAAATTTCAATTAAGAAAAATGTCAGATTCAATTTGAACTCCCTTCTTTCTCTCACACAGCTGTCTATAAAGACTTTTCAGTCAGTGCAGCCAGGACTGATGGAATCCTTAGAACAGAACAGGTCCCTGCTCATTTTATCATGAATCTTGGTGGAAATTTTCTTCCATATAGGGATGGACACAAATTCCTGAACTAAATCTTCCCAGAAAACACATTCTGACATGTGAGTGCAATGATTGACCTGATTAACATGATCTTAGTGCAGAATTCAAGGTTGGTTCAAATATGTAAACATCTTGTGTGTGTGTGTGTGTGTGTGTGTGTGTGTGTGTGTGTGTGTGTGTGTGTGTGTGTGTGGAGTGTGGGTGTCTAGGCTTCAATCACACAGGAGAATATGATGGTAAATGTGTTTCCTCCAGTTGAAGAAGAAAAAGAATTTAATCAAAAGTAAATAATCAAGATCTGAACCTATTTCAAAAAGAATAGAGAAGCACTCACTCGCTCACACCCCAAAACAGCAAAACGCTAGATACAGTGTGGAGTCACACAGACAAAGAGCCAGCACTCAGAACCCAGAAAGTTAGGTTCTGCCTACTTCTGAGGGGGACTCAAGAGAGAGACTCCCCTTCATTCCCCCATGAGAAGATTGTGAAAAGCAACAGGTGCCATCCTCAGCTGGGAAAATGCTAATGAACACACAGGGTTAAAGAACTAACCCAGCAGAGTCCATCTGGCTATGTGGTCAGCCACTGTGGTGAATTCAGAGTGCCATGGGCGGAGGCCATGGGGCAAGGTTGGAGAAGAATCGTGACCCTACATGCTGGATGGTTCATATCCACCAGCAAATGTGATGCCTCTCCTGGAACTCTGCATCTAACCCACCAATGTCAGAGAGGACTGATGGGATGTCATGTGTGATATCCAACACTGTCAAACGTAGGTGTTCAGTTTTGCACTGTTCCATGAAAAAACTGGGTCACTCCGAGGTGAATTTTGGCTTTTACAGCTACAGGGGAACCAGCTTCTGGTGAACTGACTGACTTTCTTAACAATAGCTGTTTTATTGTTACATAATTTACACCTTTGCACATAGCAAATGCTCTTTCTTATCTGTATCCCACCAAAGAAGACAAAAGACAAAGTAATTCTCAGTCACAGGGGACCTCTTAGTTTTCTGAGTCCTACAACCAAGTTTTGCATAGGTTTGAACACTTCAGGAAGAACAATGACTAGATTTACAGACTTCAAATAGAGGGTATTCAACACAAAAGGTAGCAATCACAAAATAGCAGCTCAAAGCCCAGGTGCAAACACTCCTGAATACAGGCCAGCTGCAGTGCTCTTCAGTAACTTCCCCTACACAACCAGGAGGGGTCAGCACCTGTTCTCACTGACAGTGACGCCTGTGGGAGGTTGGTGTGAATGAGCTCACAGCACTCAAAGCAACCCTGACTGGTTCAAATGGAATCTTGTATCACTGATTCTCAGGACACACAGCTGCTCATGAAATCAATAGAAAGGAGACTATAGCCATGTGACACACTGGCCATGGCGATTCACAAAGGGCAAAACACACAGGAGTTGGGGAAGGAATATCCCCTTAGAAGTAGATATGATGAAATACTTGGGACATATCCACAGCGTGGGAGCTCTATAGTAGTATATATATTCTCATTACTTCTTTGAAGATAATTACTTGCATAAAATGTATTGCATCATGTCCACAACATACTCTAGAGGACTTTTTCTCTCCTTTTACAAGATAGCCTGATATAGCCCAGGATAACCCCAAACTCATCGCTTAATATGAATTCCCTGAAACTCCCAATACTCTTACAAGATGATAATTACTCATGTTGACATTGATACAAAAAGGAATTTAAGGAGGTCTTTTTGGCTCAGCAACAAAAGTGGGAAATACTCAGTGACATCAATCTCATTCTCCATGTGACAAACAGGACATGTGTGTGGCCTGGAACCAGCCTTTGAAGAGATGCCAACTTAGAGAATTTTACCCATGTGACACCTTTTGTAGCATGGGGCTATTACTGAAGAGAAGGTTGAAAATTGTTGACACCCAGGGGTGGTAGAGGATGACAATAAACACTTTTCGGGACACTGCAGGACAGTCACACATCTGAGCTCACAGTGTTTGTAATGACATCTACCATCCCCATGTCAGCCCAAAGCAGAACAAACCCAGTGTGAGCATGGGAGATGGGCACAGTGTCCCACCATAGATGAAGAGTGATTCCCATCTTATCCATATGGGGAGAGGGAGAGTCAGTTTTCTCTTTTTATCAATTTTTTATTTAAATTTTAAAAACACCTTATTTTGCATATCAGTCCCAGTTCCCTCTCACTTCCAAATCCCACTAACCCCCCCCAAAGACCATCTCCCTATTCCACCTCCCATCCACTCCTCAGAGTGGGGCCTCCCATGAGAGATCATCAAAGTCTGTCACATCCTTTGGGGCAGGACCTAGGCCCTCCCCACTCTGTCTAGGTTGAGAGGGTATTCCTCCATAGGGAATGGGCTACAAAAAGCTAATTTGAGCACTAGGGTAAATAATGGATTTACTGCCAGCCAGATGCCCTATAGTAGCCCAAGCACCCCAAAATGACAACCAAATACAGGGGACCCCAACTAAGAATCTAAGAAATAGTAGAGACTCATTTTCTTTAACAGTGTGGCCCTGGGTACAATGCCCAAGTGTTTGGGAAGAACAAATTGTACTGCACGGGAGGAAGAGAATACACTTTCATTAAGTGTAAGAGGGGGCAGTGGATTTTCTACAACCAGCAGGTCACAGAAGGAATCAAAAGGAAATCAGATCAGTGAGGAGGGAACCAGTAAGAGAGGGGGAGGGAAAGAAGGAGGGTTGGAAGGAAACCATCAAAACATAATACATATTGACATGACATTTCAAATAATTGGAAAAATTATTTCATTTCCATATTTTATTTAGAAACAACCATTTGACATATCAATCCCCCCTGTTTCCACTCCCTCCCATCCTCCCATGCCCCTTACCAACACCCACCCCACCCCCACCCACTCCCCAAGGATAACGAGGCCTTCCATGGGGGCTCTGAACCTCTGACACATGATGGGGGCTCTGAACGTCTGACACATTATTTGGGGAAAGGCTTACGCCCTCCTCCATGTATCTGGGGTGAAATAGTATCCCACCATAGGGAATGGGCTCCCTGTGTCAGTTTTGCACTAAGGATAAATATTTGTTCCACTGTTAGAGGTCCCCCAGACTTCCCAGACCTCCTAACTGGCACCCACATTCAGAGGGCTTGGATCAGAAATTGAGCATTGCAGGATAAAGCGGGTGTGTCTCAAGGGAGGAGTATGTGCTTAGAATCCTGGAGGCCATGACAACATTCCCTGGCTCCAAAAGTAAGGGGAAATAAACTCCTAGTACTGAACCCTCTTTCTCTTCAACTACGTGGTAAACAGACACAAAGATGGAAATATTTGGCAAGTGCCAGAAGGGCAAGAGCATCACCCTCAAGGTCCAGCCTAGTGTCTCCATGGAAAAATGTCAAGACTGAGACCCAAGACAAGGAAGGCATCTCACCCGACCAGCAGTGGCTGGAATTTGCTTACAACAGACTGAGGATGGCTAAATCCTGACCAACAATAAAGGCCAGAAAGATTCCCAGCCTGAATCTCGTGCTGCACCTGTGTGGTAGCATCATAGAGTCATCCCTTTGCCAGTGTCTCCGGAAGGACAAGTATGACAAGGCCATGCTCTGCTGCCCACAAGGGCTGCCCACACCTGCACCTCTGTGTGGTCTACTGCCTTAAGAAGAAGGGTGGCCACACCCACAACCTGCACCTCAGGAAAATCAAATAGTGTTAGAAACATTCTTGCCCAAGATTCTCGGGGCCCATGCAATATTTTTTGGCCTGAGCAGAAGGACGAAGGAAAGTGATGATGCTAAGACTGAGCTAGCGACATGGATCAGTGTGTAGCCTGCTGCCAACCTTCAGCCCTGACTCTGATGCATATCATGCAAGGAGAAACCTGACTTCTGACCTTGTCCTCTGACCTCCATGAGTGTGCTGTGACATATGTGAATAGAAACACACATAAAGAAAAATGTCATTTATGACTATGACATAAGCGTAATTTAAATAAATAAGTGCAAATTAATGAATAAGTATAATTCAAAATTCTAGAAAGCACACACATCAAAAAGAAACAATCAGTCAAAAAAAGTAGTATACATGAGTTTGGTTTGGTTTTTTAAAGATATATTTATTTTTATGTATAGTGTTTGGCCTGGATGCATGCCTGCACACCAGAAGAGGGCACCAGATCACATTACAGATGGTTGTGAGCCAACATGTGCTTGCTGGGAATTGAACTCAGGACCTCTAGAAGACCAACCAGTGTTCTTAACGACTGAGGCATCTCTACAGCACCTAGTACACACTTGTCACCCAGCACCTGAGACTATGAGGAAGTGGATTATACATTTGATTCCATGGAGATGTACACAGTGAGACCTTTCACAAAAATCTTGTGGACATTTTGAATATGAGAAAGTATTTCATATATAAATGTGAAAAGGAATAAAGCAAGACCACATGAAAATTTTTATTTTTGTGTGCAATATTCATTCATGTCTGCTGCCTCCTAGTCCTGACAAAGATGAGGATAGATGAGACAGACACTGATGAGATTTTGGAAATGACATCCATTAAATATTGTTGGAGCCTACTGCATGACCCAGCAACAGCCTCGGGGAATAAAGAGCCTGGTGTGTGAGGAGGGCAGTTCCCCTTCCTGTGGGGCTGCTGAAGCACAACCATGTCATGGGGAGTGCCCTGCCTCCAGAGACCACACCCTACGTCTCCTGCTGCTTCAGCAAGACTCTGTAGCTCTGCCCATGAGCACAGTTGCAGCCTCCAGGAGGAGATGCCATGACCGTCTCCTTCACAGTCCTGCTCTGTCTGGGTGAGATGTGGAGATGGGGAGGGATGCTGTGCTCTGGGATTGATGCTGCCCCACAGCCCAGCACGGGTCAGTTAGGAAACCCCAGGGTCTCAGGAGGTTCTGCAGAGGGGAGGACCTTCTCAAGCTTCAGGGACAAACCTCTCACTGGAAACTCTCTTCCAGGGCTGACTCTGGGCCTCAGGACCACAGTGCTGGCAGGTGAGTGAGTTTCTGCAGATGTCCTGACATCACTTCTCATCATTCCTGGAGCCATGCTGGGCAGTGAGGATGGAAACCAACACATGTGTGCTGCCCCTGGGGATGGCTGAGGGTTGGGATCATGGGCTGCACTCTGAGAATGACTGCCCTGGGTCCTAGCTGATCTTTTCCTTTCAGGAACTCTCCCTAAGCCTATCCTCACAGTACAGCCAGACTCTGTGGTGTCAGAGCAGACTACAGTGACCTTCTTGTGTGAGGAAACCGTGGGAGCCCAAGGATACCGTCTGTATAAACTCGAATATTACTGGGACAAAGAAATTCCACCAAATCCTAACAACAAGGCTGAATTCACAATCTCAAAAATAGGCCCAACGGAAGCAGGGCAATATTTCTGTCAATATCGGATTGGTAAAAAATGGTCAGAGTACAGTGACTCCCTGGAGCTGGTGGTGACAGGTGAGAGGACTCACAAGGCCCGTAGCCTAAGGTTTGTCTGTCAAGAAGTGTTCTGTAAACAGGGATGACTCCCCTCAAAGCCTTGGGGGATAATGAGACCTTTGAGGACATTTAACTGATTCTTCTCCTCTCCTAGGGGTCTACAGTAAACCCAGCCTGTCAGCCCATCCCAGCCCTGTGGTGACTGAAGAAGGGAATGTCACCCTCCAGTGTGTCTCAACGCAACCATATCACAAGTTAATTCTGACCAAGGAAGGGACAAAGAAGCACTCCTGGACACTGGACTCAGAGTATGACCACACTACTCGGCAGTACCAGGCCCTGTTTGTTGTGGGTCCTGTGTCCTCCAGCCAAAGGTGGACATTCAGATGCTACAGCTTTGAGAGTAACAGACAACTTGTGTGGTCAGAACCTAGTGACCCCCTGGAGCTGCTGTTCTCAGGTGAGGAACTCCAGCTTTCCCTAGAATGATGCTGAACTGACACAGGTGCTGAGGGAGGTCTTGGTGTGTGAGGTGTGAGGAGCCAGGGCTCCTGGGCCCATTGACACAGATGTGGGAGACAGAGGGACACAAGATACAGAAACCAAGGGACACAGTGACATGAGAGTCTAGGAGAACCAGGACAGATGGGAATCTTCATGGGGCCCTCTGTCTCTCTGTTACTCTCTGATACTCTCTGTTACTCTGGATCAGCTTAAATAACATCGAGCAGGGCTCAGGGAAGTCCACAGAAAAGAGAGAGAGGAATGGTTGTAGGAGCCAGAGCACTCAGGTCACCATGAGAACACAGCCCACAGGATCAGCTCAGCAAGGATCATGAGGGTTCACAGAGACTGAAGCAGCCACCAAGGCTCATGCTTGGGTCTTCCCTAAGCCCTCTGCACACAGGCTGTGCTAGTTTACCCTGGGGTCTTTTATGTTTTTTTTTTAGAGCTTCTCTCTGTAGACCAGGGTGGCCTTGAACTCAAAGGAACCTGTCTGTATTTGCCTCCTTTGTGCAGTGATTAAAGCTATGCACACCACTGACTGACTAGCTTGGGGTATTTATTAGAATCATGACAATAGGAGTCTGGAAGTCTCTGACTCTTTTGCTTGCACAGGGGATCGTTTTCCTCCTACTGCGTTGCCTTTTCCAGCCTTAACAGGAGGGTGTTTGCCCAGTCTTACTGCATGCTGTTATGTCATGTTCCATTAATATCACTGGGATCCCCACTCAGTTCTGAAGGGAAACAGAGGAGCCATGGCCCTGGGGGAGAGAGACGGAGAGGGGGTTGCTGTCAGAGTGTATTGTTTGACAGAACCATAAATTAAATGAAAAAGTGTGTTCCGCAAGTGTGAGTATCCTGTGCTATTTTCAGACAGACACACCCCCTTCTTTCCTGTTTCCTTGCAGGGACCCTCCACAAACCCACCATCAAGGCTGAGCCAAGCCCTGTGTTTGCCTCAGGAAGCCCCATGAACATCTCTTGCCAGGGGACCCTGGATGCAGTAATGTGTTTTCTGCATAAAGAGGGAAGCCAAAAACCCTTGGGTACACAGACCCCAAAGGAGCCTGAGATCAAGTCCATATTCTCCATTTCTTCTGTAACAGAAGACACTGGGGGACAATATCGCTGTTACTGTTACAACTCAGCTGGCTGGTCAGAGCCCAGTGACACCCTGGAACTGGTGGTGACAGGTGAGGGGACAGTCAGGGTCTCTGCAACAGGCTCTGCTCTCAGGAGTATCTCCTCTCCCACGCTAGCCCTGACAGCATTTTGACTGTGTAATCACATGTAACCAGCTGCCTCTTTCTGTCTTAGGAATCTATGACAGTAAACTCCGTCTGTCAGCTCGGCCCAGCCCTGTGGTGACCTCAGGAGGGAACATGACTCTCCAGTGTGTCTCATGGGTGTTCTATCACAAGTTCATCCTCACCAAGGAAGATCAGAAGTTCTCCAGCTCCCTGAACTCACAGTATATAAACAGTATTAAGCAGTACCAAGCCTTATTCTCTATAGATCATGTAACAGCAGACCACAGAGGGACATTCCGATGCTATGGTTACTACAACCAAACCCCACAGCTGTGGTCAGCACCCAGTGAGCCCCTGGAAATACACATCTCAGGTCAGTCAGCCCCATCCCTGACCAATCATTTTTTGACACAACCCTTTGCCAGGAATCTGTAACCCTGGGTAGTTGCAGAC